GATTTAACAGAGAGCTATCAAATCAAACAATGAAACTATCATTTGTCAGTAACAGACAAACAAATTAATCAACCTTCATTATTTTTATGTCCATGTAGAATTGACTCTTGTGAGCTTTAAGACAAACATACAAGGAGTTGTGTTTTGTTTCATTCACATGTTTGAGTAACCTTGCATTATTAGTCTACATCTCCAAAGCTCAAAATGCTCTGTTCCACTTTGTGATGTCATGAAGTGATAGTTTTCAAGTTAACAGCAATTGTTTACCTTTTGTTTGGTAGAGATTGGCAATTCCGGGGCTGAAATTTTCCAGATGTTTCTAGTGAAAGTGTATGAAGTTTTAAAACACAGTTGAGCACTTTCTTTATTACCACATGACATCACAAGGTGGAACAGGGTGTTTTCTGTTTGAGAAAAAAACACATCCTAAATATGCAGGATTTGTGTGTTAATGAATGAAACAAAACACAACTCCAGGTCTGTTTGTGATGAGGAAACAATATTATAACATAGATAATAGTGTAATATAGGCCCTTTAACTGGAAACTTTATGTCCAAAACATCTGATGAAGTCATTACTAACCCTTTCCATCCTTCTACAATGTATATCACGTATCCTACAGAGTGGTGGGCCAATTTATTTGAGTAAAGATAACAGAGTAATGGCAGTTTCTCATGGAGGTTGGTTGAGTCTTGTTTCTGTGTGTGGGTAGCAGCAGCATTATTATTTCACCAATGATCAAAGCTTTAAAACTAGGCCTAAGGAAGGTTTTATAAACAAACTGCTAAATGAACAGAACAGGGCTGATCAAAGAGGAGCCAGGAGAGAAACGCGAAGAAAAAAAAATACATGTTCAAGAAAAACATGTTAGCAGTAAGTTAAAAGACACAGGCTCTGCAGGTTCTCCTTTGATTACATCAGATCTAAATCATGAAATGCACACGTACACTAAGCAGATGTCTAAATTCACAATAACAGGTTCAATTATATTCACAGACAGAGTGTGTGTGCCTGTGTTTTCCTATAGGCTTTACAATTTCACCCAGGCACCTACAGTAAAACGTCCACAATTAGCTATCACCCACCTAGTCCTGACCAAAGTCCTCAAAATCTGAAGATGGGTCAAATGCAAAGTACAAATTTCATGCAATTTAACCTTAATCCTGATCAGTGTATAAGCAAAACATAAATTCATTAATTCATCTAAACAAGTTTTTTTTTAAAGTGCGTTTAAGTGCTCTCCACAGTTCTGGGCTACACCAGAAATAAGTCTGCACTAAACGCAATCAATCTTTATTTCTTGAGCCCTTAACACACAATGTGGCCAAAGTGCTTTCCAATAAAATCAACACAATGAAAAAACATTGATCAATAGAAAAACTGTGCTCATATCAGAACCAAACCACAAAAAGACTGAACACATATGCACAATACAGTTAACCAACCAGAAAATATATGTGTATATAAACCAGGGGTGCAGACGAGCCGTGCATAGGGGAGCAGGTGTACTGTGTATCTGTGATGTGCCGTAGAGCCTCCGCGTGTTTCAAATGAGCGCACAGGCTGCACTGAGACGCCCCACACGCTCCTGCACCCCGCTACAAGTTTATTGCCAACAGCAGCGTCCGTAATGAAATATGATCACACTTGTTGAGTGTCAGACCTTGAGTGAGAGACAAGACCGAGTCCAAACGCAAGTCCAAGACGAGACACGGTGATCTACCCACACGACCTTTGTAGATCGCGATCGACGTATTGAGCACCCCGATATAAACAAGAAGAAGTAACCCAAACTTTTACTCAGTACTGTTGTTACCCTGTAAATTATTTTACTCAAGTAAAAGGAGTAAAAGTATGGACTCTGTTAAAGATGTACTATGCTTAGTTTAGTTTTTCTTCGGTCAATTAATATAATCATTAATCATATTACAATGATCTGACACAGAAATTATGCATGTCACTAAAGTTATTCTGGAAACCGAAGGAGTTTAGGCTGAAGTTTTAACCCTATTAACATATAGAACAGGATACAAGACGGCAGAACTATTTACAGAAAACACAAAACTCATCTTTTATGAGTGCAGGAAAGAATACCTACTTCATTCTTGGTATACACACATACACAATACAGACACAAAATCGATGTTCATACACACACACACACACACCTACACCCACAGACTGACCCATGTACAAAGTAATATTTATACCCATTAGTATATAAATACACATCGTATAATTGAGGGTTATAGTTAATCTGTAAGTTCCATGAGGTAAGATATGCTTTATTGTATTTCTCTACATTTCTCTATAATTATATATAATATGTAACTTTTGTAACCATGTAACTATGCATTAGGGATGTAACAATAACTGAAATATCGTGATATCGTATCATCAAAGTTCTCACAATAATATCATGGACCATCACAATATATCAAATCACAAGTCTCTTTGCTTAAATTAAGAGTTATGGTGCAGCAATAGCTAAAAAATAACAGAGGGAACTACATAGACCATGATCCTTTGCTCTGTTTCAGCGTAGACTACAAGAAGAAATTAATTCTAAGCACTTTTAAGTCTTAGTTCTTTGGATTAAGTCTTGTCAAGGCATTTTAAGAGGAAAAAGTAGCATATTAACAGTTTTGTTAGGCTCCACAAAATATCTCAATAAATATCTTACCGTGAAAATATTGTGCTGAGAGATTTTGATATTGTTACATTCCTAATCTTGACCCTCTCCATCATATTGTGAGCTTTCCCATGATATCACAATAAATAGCATATGGTGAGGTTCATACCGTGACGATATCGTGAGATTTGGATATCATTATACCCCTACTATGCATGTTTTTCAAGGTATTTTTAAGCAATGAAAACACCTGTAATTTTGTAAATACAAGTTATATGAGACATTCTAGGCAAAGCATTATCATCTCCATACTATGGAGACAAGAACGCTGCACACGCTCCTCCTGAAAAGTTACATAGCGTATATTTAAGAAGTGAGTACTACCCATACACTGTATATATAAATGGACAGATAGGCTTCTGGCTCCATCGACTCCATCCAGCTCCCTCTCAATTTTGTCCATAAATAAGTTCCTATTCCTAATATGGAACTGGCTCCAAATTTGCTCTTTGCTAATTGCAAGCCTTGATGAGTTTCATTTGACTGGGGCTAAACGCTATGGGTAACGTCAGACTCTACTGCTACCCGCCTTTGCAGAATTCTTTATAAAAAATAATATCTAGTATTGAAAGCATCAGTTTAGTGCTTGGTCACCTTGGGAGCTTCACGGTTGAGTGAGAGCCAATTTGTGCTACATAGTCGGAGCAGCGTCCACAGACTTCAATGACATTTTAGTTGGAGCTGGATTATAAAGCTCTGGTTCAAATCTGTCACAATTAGCGCGAGGGGGAGAGGCTAATACAGGACTGATGAACTACACGCGCAGCCATGCAGAACACAGGGACAACCAGCCCACTAATTAAACACGGCAAGTATGAGACCGCTCTTTAATCTGCATACACTGAGCCTGTTACATAAGGGGCACTAGCCATATCCTTATATTCTTTCTATTTCATGACGACTATCCATTGGTTTCTGAATTTTGAAGAACTGGGACCAATTCCATAGCAATCAAAGATACAGCGATTAAAGATGCAAATGTTGTTCTTCATCAAAAACATACCTGAAGCTGTGTTTTGTTTCATTCGTACATCTTTAACACTCAAACCATTCATGAGTTCATCCTTCAAACAGAAAACACTCTCTTACACCTTGCGATGTCATGTGGTAATACAGGCGCTCCACTGTGTTTTTAAACTCGATACACATTCAGGTGGTGGACTGGGACCAAAAAACTGCCCTGGAGTTTTTCACAAATTGACCAAGATTGCCAGCCCGCCCCTGTACACATTCACTAGAATCATTTGGATAATTTCAGTGCTGGAATTGCCAATCTGAACCGAACTTGAACTTGAAAACTACCACTATAAGACATCACAAGAGGAGCAGCAGTATAAGATGGCTTAAAGCTCACAAGAATCAATTTTGTGCATTATAGAAACTTTAACAAATTAAAAATGAAATACTTTTGAATGGAGAAAAAGTCCTTGCATATTGCATGTTGCAAATAACAGGGGGTTGAAACTCATGAATAACATATGGGCTCTGGTAATTAAACCCAGAACCATCTAGCTCAAAGGCAAGTAATCTAACTACTCAGCAAGTATGCAGTAGGCTAGTTCCCACCATCAACTGTTCAGTTTTCTAGGTCTAGGACTGTGACTGGTTATCCAGGCCTGGGACTGGTATAAACACTACGACTGGTGACCGACCATATGTTTGAAAAACTCAGAACAAAATTCTGTTTAGAACTTACTTGACTCTTCATGGGTTTCACTTTCCTGAGGATTTTTGTTTTGAGTCATTAATTGCTTGATATTTTGACCTTTCAAAACACATGGCTGCCCTAATAAATGTACACTTCTTTTTTGAGATGTTGATCCATTTAACTGATGTGTTGACAAGTGCCATATATTACTCAATGGCAACTTGGTAATTAAGTCATGACAGGTCATTTTGCATTTTATCAAAATGTATGAAGACTAAGTCATTTAACTTTTAAAGCATTAGCAACACTTACACAAAATGTAACCAGCCTAATCTAAACAAAAAAGTGGTTTATAATGTAAGTATTTAGGCTCTTACTATTACACTTATTGCAAGTTTAAAAGTGACTTGAAGACACAATGTAACTCAATCTTTTAATCTCACACTGTGAGCTATTTTAAACCTAACTATACAGTGAACTCTCTGTCCAAAAGCTCCAGATCATTGTCCACAGGTCTCTCTGCTCTTGCCTTTTTAAAGCTGTAACCTTTAGAAGTGTGCCCTTGCATGTAAAATGCCTCCTGGCGGTCAGGTCCTGTCAGCCTGTTTGTACAGCATGTGTTTGTATGTTACACCATGCACCCTGAATAATAGTACTACCTGGGAGTGCGGCGTGGCGGCCATCTTGACTCGCTGCTGGAAGAGAACGCTGAGTATACGATTCTGCTGCTCCAGGTCAAACACACGAGTCCTCAGCTTCACACACTCCTCCTTCAGGTCCTGGGACCAAAAATCAGCAGAAACATGAATAATGCCTATAAACACCTTTGGTATATTATTTCATACAATAACACAAACCTTCTGAGTAAGGAGAGCTTGGACCACTTGATTCGCCACCTATAAACACAAAACATATGACCCATGAGTAACTGCACATCTGTACTCTGAAATCAGTCATATTTTAATGAAAACTTTCCAAACTGATTTCCCTTACTAGGAAATAGCAGCAGTAGGGCAGAACTACTTTGGAACAATATCGGACTGTTCTCAGGCATTTTAAATACACCCAGTAACATGAGTATTTGAGAAGAAACTGAAATATGAACAGCTCAAATACTAATAGAATCCCCCGCATTTCAGAAATAATTTGTAGAGGTCTAAACTGCAGGATTAGTATGTTTTTACATAAAATATATTTTTTCTTTAAACAAAAGGTTGTTATGGTGCTTAAAGCTACCATCTTTAATTAGATAGGCCGACCCACCCCCACAGCTTTGGTCTGACAGAAGAAGAGCAGAGAGCACAGGTGAGTCTGAACAAAAGTCAGGTGAGGGGGGAACAGGTTTCACATCTGCTGTCTGCTGGTGAAAAAAATCTAATAAATTTGCAGCTAGTACCTTTAATTAAAATAATTATTATTTTTCTGATTGATTTTTTAATGATTTGATAATAGTGACTGTCCAAATTGCAATTCTGAGTTGATAGCAACAAATTCTGCTGCCTTAATCAGCATATGCAGTTCTGTATATTAAACCCAATAAGAGTTTTTAGTTCTAAATAAATGGCACTATTTATTTGAACATAACTTTTTGTATCAACAATTTTAAATCATAAAGCTATTCAAAATGTTTATTGTCTAAAAAGAGTTTAATAGGCAATATAATAAGTGCTGATAGCCTATATAAAAAACTTTTAGACTCTTGGACCCCCCGTGTTGCCCAAGAAAACAGCTTTAATTAGCAGTACTTACTCTTCTCTCTTTAAACCTCAATAAAACCATGAGCCATCACTGAGAAAAACTGAGCAGACCAGAGTCTCACGGCTGGAGTCTGAACTAGCAAGACCTCAATGAAGACCTCAGCACAGTGATGAAATCAAATCAAAAGCCAAAACTTACCACAGTCTAATTAAGAAATGTAATGTTTTTTTCAGTGAATACATGCCTTTAAAACTCCTAATACATGGAACATTTCACAGACTTTTCTTTCTTTAAATTGTTAAGCACTATGGCAACGGTTATTTTTTCATCATTCTGGAATCCACTGACTAGTTGTTAAAATAAATACTGTTTCATAAAGTAATAGTATTATGCCATGTAGTACTATGTAGTAATAGTAAAAGCTGTGGTTATAAAGCAGTGTTGATTTAAGTTAAAGGTGCACTGTGCAACTTTTCTGGTTTTCTTGTATCCATGGAGGCGTTATGTCTGAAACGCACCACAGAGGGGCATTATACTTATCCATCTTGCATTCATTCAATTCATCTTTCATGCTAAAAAGTACCTTGTAAATCATTACTGTGAGCTCTGCGGATACGGATGAGTAATGCCATACTGTGGAATACTCCAGGCAAATCAAGAACATCTCCATGGAGACAATCAGTGGTGGACGCTCAAACAGAAAAGTTACACAGTGCACCTTTTTTAAACTCCTTACGTATGTTTAAAATAGTCTTATAGTAACATTTGTAGAGGCCAGTGGTAACAAAGGCAGACGTATGTAGCGTACGCAGAAAACATGTGAATAATGGTGAAATAGAGAGTGCATTAGTGTGTCCAGACCGTGTCCAAGCACAAATGTCACAAAATGCCACTTCATTTCTAAGGATTTACTTTGGTTTAAGTCCCTCCAACTAAAAGAAGCAACTCAACAACTGTGACTGCATTACAGAAGAATACATGACATTTGAGTTTGAGTTGGATTAAGAATAGAACATAGCACATATTTTCAGTAAACAGAATAAAACATGAAAAGATGACAAAAACAAATTATGAAATGACAAGATTTGTATTATTGTTTGTTTTTTTTAGAAATGGATTTTAAACATGTCGCTCACCTCATCTAGGCAGCGCTCATACTGCTTCCTTTGGTTGTCGTTCTCAATGGACAGAGCTGAGTTTTCTGCCTGTAAAAAGAGAAACAAACTCTTTAAAGTCACAGTACATCATATTTTAGGCAAAAAAAAAAAACTAATAGAAAAGCATGTTTGTTTGTTTTGTGATATTAGTAGATAATGCGTTTGTTTTTCTGTAACGTTATAATATAATGTAATAATAACACCAGTTACAAAGTGCTTCACACAGAAGAAGCACAATACAAACATAATTATACTTTACAAAAAGCACAAATGGGTCTATGCCGTCCATAGTTCATGATTTCATTTTTTGGACATTTTAAATCTCAGTATTAATATCCATGGTGTGTCTAATGTCACAATGTGGTCAAAGCATACTGGTCAAATAAATTGTTTTTTCTTGTTGCATTGATTGTTGCCACAATAGAAAGTGTGTGTGCAGGTTAAAGATGTGATGGAAATGGAAAGAGTAAGAGCAAGACTGGAATTTAAAATGAAGAAATTTGAAGCATTATGGGCACCTGTAATACAAGAGGCAAAATGATATGTACCCTACCTTTTGTTTGTGTGTGTATGGGTGTATGGAAGGGGTGTAACGATATCCAAGTCTCATTATATGATATCGTCATGGTATGAACCTCACAGTACGGTATTTATTGCGATATCATGAAAAGCTCATGATATGTTGGGGAGGCTCACGATTAGGGCTGTAACAATATCCAAATATCTCGGTACAATATTTTCACGATGTACATTTCACGGTACGATATTTATTGAGATATTTTGTGGAGCCTGATAAAACTGTTAATATGCTACTTTTTCCTCTTAAAATGCCTTGACAAGACTTAATTCAAAGAACGAAGACTTACAAGTGCTTGAAATGGTTATTTCTTCATGTACTCTGCACTGAAATGGTGCAAAGAATCATGGTCTATGTAGTTCCCTCTGTTTTTTTTTTTAGCTATTGCTGCACCATAACACTTAATTTAAGCAAAGAGACTTATAATTTGACATTGTGATGGTCCACGATATTATTGTGAGAACTTTGACGATACGATATCACGATATTTTGGTTATTGTTACAACCCTAGAGTATGGGTGTATGGGTGTGAGTGAAAGTGTATGTGAAAGTCTATGTGTATGTGTGTTTATTCATTTATTATTAATATTAGTATTATAATTTTTCTTTTTTTTTTGGTCAGGGGTCACTAATTAATGGAGGGAAGGGATTAAGAAAAAAAAGAGGTAGAGTATTATACATTGATAATATTATGCTCTATCTGTTATAATACAGTATAAAATATGAAAGGGATGTAATTAAAATATATATTGATTTGAACATATGTACATGAGTATGAAGTGTAGATGTGTGTGTGTATATGCGGTGTGTGTGTATATCTGTATGTATGTATTTGTGTATTTATAACTAAATGGACACTGAACATCTCCAGTGAAATGAATTAATAAACATATATTAACAGAAAAAAGAAAGTGTGTGTGCCCAAAGTTCAACCCAAAAGTCCAGCTTGTCCGGGGCATGTCCTCTGTTTTTGTCCATCGCCTTTGATTTAAACCTGACAAATAGTGGCTTTTCCCCATGGCCCTGTCTGCTCAATGGAGAGAGACGCTGCTAAACAAATGATGCTTTAAATTTCCTCCACCCTCTCCTCTCCTATCTCCTCAAGTACCTCCAAGTATGATTCAATTACAGGCCCAGGTTGCTCCCGTCGGGGAACACAAAGCATTATGGGTACTCGGGACGTGACTTTGGGCTGAAATGATTAATCCGTTAAATCTTTGCTGGTTGTTTTCACTGGAGGCGAAGACAAGTTCACAGAAAGGGCCGGTAATGGGAGGCAGGAGAGGACACTGAGCAGAGAGGCCCTTCAAAATGCATCAACAACACCTGAGCTTATGTCTCCAAGTGCTTGGTTCGATGGAGGAGGATAAAGAAAGTGCAAGGAATACATAAAAAGATAAAATGATGAATTTAAAGAAGACATATTGTGCTTGTGTCTGCTATATAGTTATAGTCTATGTCACCCGTGGGTCATTAATGTTATGATTTACACATTTTAAATCATAATATTCAATACAATAACTGGCTTCTGCGTTAAAAACTGTGGTCTCCGTAAACGTCATCACAACAAAGAGCTGGGAAGTTGTGGGCCTCTCCTATGGATAGCTGCAGATCACACTAGCAAGTAATAGATTTTTTTTTCTCTTTTGTCTCAAAATGACTACGCAGCGCTTCCAAATTCTACGTCTATCACTGATAAAGAAATATGGCATCTTAAAAATAAGCCACTAAAGGCGCACAAATCACTGCAAATAAAACTTCAGGTGCGTAAATGGTGAAGTGAAACAACTTTTGCATTGGCATGATATAAGGAAATTAAAGTGCTTATGTTAGGCAAGGACTGAGGAAAGTTAATAAAGATTGTTTGTCTTCTGTGATGAGATAATAACATTTACACAGTTACCCACAAAATTATTACCGACAAAAAGTATAAGAGAAAACCAGCTCTAACCATGTCTAAAGAGGGACAAAATTAGATCTTAAGTTCTTCTCCTTCAGAGCGCTATTACAACACAATCAGCGGCATCCCACTAAAGCAGGAGTCACCAAACTTTTTTCTCTGGGGGCCACATTATCTCTCCTGACTGTGATGGAGGGTCGGGGTCGGGTCGGCTGTATAACAGAATTGTATGATCCCGACGACGCAGATTATATTCTTTGAAAACCGCCACACTTTCTTTATATATCAGACAAATTGCACAGTCCTTACACTAAACAAAAAAATACTCGGTTGTCCAGTGTTCTTTGAAAACTCAACACTCTCTGTCAACGTTTTGTGCTTTAACACGAGCCATTTCGCTGTCCTTAACTGCACTACAGAACTCTGACTTGACTGTCACTGTTTAATCTCACGCTTGTCAGGTGACGAAAATTTGGCAGGAAATTTGGCGGCAAATGTAAATGGGTCAAATAATTATTCAAATATAAATATAAATACTTCATATAAGTATAATTTTTAATTGAAAATTGTCATAATACAAGATGCAGACGTGTTATTATTTGGAGAATTGTCATGTGGGAGCACGGAGCAGACTTGTGGGCTGAGCAATGGACAGGATCTTACAGCTAACCCCAAGAAAGATTTGAATAGGGCCTGGAATAGATCACTAAATTACTGATACATGTATAAAAGACATCTCCAGGTATGTTTTTAATGAGGGAATAATGATTACAACATATAAAAGAATTACCATGATACTCAATCTATGAAATTTTTTGAAGGTTGGGCAGTCACATGTGTTGAAACCTTTTCCCACGGCTATAGGTCAGGACACGTGTGCAGTAATAACACTGAATACATTTACCTCCAGAGCCCTGAGCCTCTCTAACAGGGGGTTGCTGTCCTTGCTGTCCTCGTCAGATCCGCTGTGTGTCTCCTCGGATGCTGCTGTCTCCGTGGCGACAGGGACAGATGTCTCCGTGGCGACGGGGACGGACTCCAGACTGTCCTGCTGCTTCCACATCTCCTCCAGCAGCTTGTCCTGGGACACATAAGCACAGGGGGGACAGTATAATATTATAAGATACTGGTGTAAACTGGAAGGTGAACTTGGAAAGGTGGAGTTAAATTGGTTATACTTGGTAAATGTGTATTCTCTGTATGTAACTGCAAATGAAGTCAACACGTGATCATATAGTTTGAATAAAAAACAAAATGTGCAGTATTAATAGGTGCCATTTTGAGTACTTTTGACCATTCAAAAGTTACAATATTTTGTTTTAAATAGTTCAGCTTTCAGCTTTTTGAGTTGAGAGAATTATTTTAAACTAACACTCTGCTAGCATTACAACATTCAGATCATTTATTCATTACATTATTACATGTCTATGGGTGAGTTCACACTTTGATCTGGTTTGGTCCAGGTTTTAGCCCTGTTAAGCTCTGATGTAGACTAGTTTCTCTATGTAATTTTAGTTTTTATTAAAGCAACACTGTGTTATTTTCTGTAGGTGGGGGTGATTCCATAGAAAAAGAAAGTTAAAACCATACAACAGAACATTCTCCACGAAGATAGATGAGTTTTATATCATATTGTGGAATATTATAACCAATGTAACAACATTTCCATGGAGACAAGCAGGTGGTCCTCCTTCAGGCTAAAAAAGAGTCCATCTTGCGAAGATGCAAGCCCACTCACAGTCAGAACGCATGTTTTTCAGTTTCTCAGTTTTTCAGAGTCCAAAATGTAAAAAGCATGCTTTTATTTTAGTCTGGGCTTAAAAGGTACACAGTGGAGCTTTAAAGGGCCCATATTAGACTATTTCCTAATTATGATGATGCGTTATAATGTTTTTTCCTCATCAAAAGACTCTGTTTCACCTTGTGATGTTGTGGTAATACAGCAAGCACTCCACCGTGTTTTTAAACTCCATACAACTTCACTAAAATCATCATCTCTATTGAACTAAAGGTAAATAGTAGCTGTTAATTTGAAAACTACCACTTCATGACATCACAAGGTGGAACAGAGCATTTTGAACTTTTGGAGATATAGTCAGACTAATCATAAAGGGATGTGTGAATGAAACAAAGCACAACTCCAGGTCTGTTTCTGAGGAGCTAATAACATTATAACATGGCTTAAATCTCAGAAGAATCCATTTTGTGTAATACAGGGCCTTTAAAAGGTACACACATCTCTATGACAGTGGATACATGTATTATCCTTGGTCTTGGTGTCCATTTGTCTGAATGATGCTTTAAACTCCTAATGGATGGGGTGTACCAGGTGTTCAAACAGGAGTGGTCCCTCTGACTGCCTGGTGCACAGCTGTAGTTTGTCTCAACCCATGACTTGATTGAGTAAGATGCCCGAGCTCCCAACAGTGAAAAGTAATTCACTAAACAAGAGGGTCAAGGGCACACTTATGTTTGGCAATGGCTGCGGAAAGTTAATATGGAGATTGTGTGCAGTCCATCGTGATATATTCATAACATATACACAGTTACCCATGCATATTATAACAAAAAGGATCTGAGTTAAAATACTAAATTACCCAAGTGGGACTAATATGCCAGTATGGGAATGAATCAGACAGAAAATATTATTACTGTTTTAAATTGGTGTGGTAATAAAAATATCACTAAATAATAAAAAAAAATTTTTAACTTTTCTGTGAATAGAACGTTCCATAGTAAGACATTAAAGCCATCTGTTTTCATGGAGAAGGTGATGAAACAGGCCAAGTTACTGTCCAAAACACAGTAAGAAAGCACATTTGGCAAGGGCAATTTTGACAATTTTTGAGCAATAAAAACAGCTGGGAAGAAAAAAAATAATGAAAAAGTTTAATGCCATACATGAAACATAAAATCTCCATGGGAACAAGCAGCAAGCCACCAGAAATGTTAGTGCACCTTAAGTGGATATATTATTTATTCAAAATTTGCATACCGGCTCTAAACCATGTTGATTTGTAAGAAGTTGTTATTTCTTTAATGATGCAAAAACAACTTAGTAGCAGAGCTGTACCGCCTGAACTACAGTAAAAGTATTCGATTTAGTTTTTAAAAATAGTCAGATGCTGAAAATGCCCTAATTCACATGCACATTGAAACCCAACCTTATCCACAGTCTAAAGCTATAATCAGTGTGGATACTTGAAGACATTATTATTTCTAGTAAAATCCATTTATTATCAAAGGCATGCTGTGTTTTTGAAGTGGTCGACCTGCAATTTAAAAGATGAAAAGAAAGGCTAAAATCAATACCCCATCTGCTTTTATTGTATAGTTTAAAATGATATTGTTTCAGACATGTGCGCACGCTATCATAATCACTCCACAATTCTGAACAATCGGTTAGAAATGTCACATATACCATTATAAAGACACATTCAATCTCAAAGTAGTTTGACAGGATAATCTGGGGGATTTCTAACTGTGAGTATGTTTTTGATGAGACACAATATTACAAAAATAGCTTAAAAGTCAGTTCTTTTTGACTGGAATGTTTCACAGTATGGCATTGAAATGATTTATTTTGCATCTATTCAAATGCGCATGTTTTTATTGCTCAAAAACATCTAGTAAAACATAGATTGTTACTATGAGCGGGGTTGCCTCTGCTCTGCCTCTGACCTGATCTGTGCCTCTGTCATGGTCACCCCCTTGTGACCATGACAGACCCTCCACCAGAAAACCAATGAATCAGGACTTTAACAAGGTCATGTGATCATATATAACAGGCAGGGGTGTAGTGGGTGTAGTACGTGGGGGTACGCCGTCCTGGTTTAGTTATGGTTCAGTCCTGGTTTAGTCATGGTTCAGTCCTGGTCAGTCCTGTGTTGTAGTCTATGATTTATGATATTAATGATTTTTACTGGGCTGGGGCCTTTATGTTTGTACTGAAAGTGAGTTTTGTTTTTTTTAATAAACAAACAATCACATTGATGACGTCAGGAATTGCATACCCCCACTTAAAAAAATTCCCACTACACAACAGATAACAGGGGTGTCCAAAAACCCAAAACATGCTACAGGTCTCCAGAACAGTTGATAGTCAAGGTCAGTTAAATACAATCAATCAATGAACCTGTCCAGGGACTACAGGTGGAAATTAGCACTGATGCTACAACCTGATGTACAATGCATCTCTCCTGTCAAGGTTAATGCGAAAATTGTGCGCTGTCCTTGTCTCAAATAAATAAATAAATAAAATAAATAAATAAACTTGTTTCATCAAGGATCATATCAAAACATAGACAAAGGAGAGGGCTGATCGAAGGCCATAGACGGGTGGCCAGTACAGTGAATAATTCAAATATGTGCATTTATAACAGGTAGACTGATCTACTAGACCTTTAGTCATGCTTAGATCCTCAATAGGACACAGAAACTATTTTATATTTACTTTATCACGGTAGATTTTCAAATACTTGCAGTTCTATTAAAGGTAATATTCACCAATAAAAATTGGTCTGTGGGCCAGGCCATACTTTGGACATGACATAATTGATACTCAAACTAGTATCAAAACTAGATACTCATTTGAAGGACAGTATCTATCCTGAAAAATAATAATAAAATAAACAAAATTGGACCTTTCTTAAACTTTTGATGATTTCTTTATCATTGTGGTATTGAAATTGGTATCAAAATCAAAATAGAGTTTGAAATGTTTATACTACTATATACTAGTAAGATAGAGCAAATCCACATATATTTCTTTGTGTGTCTCACCTTGTAAGCTTTCATGAGGTCCAGTGGGTCAACTTTAGGGCCTTCCATTGAGTCCTGGTTCTGGAGTATGGTCCTCACTGTCTCCTCCATACTGTACAGGAAACAGCACAGTGGGGTTAGAACGCTTTGACCAAATCCTCTGTTTAAAATCCTACTTTTGTCACGGTCAACTTAACTCAGAACTGAATTTTTTTATTTTGGTGTATTTGTTAGCAGTGGATTCATAACTATTCAAAGTTATACAATAGCCTAAATAGAAAAAAAAAATGTACTGATGATTTCGCTATTTTCTTAGACTGTAGGTATTCAGCTTTCAGTTTCAGTGTCCTTTTATATGGAACATTTTGAGGACTTTTAACAAACAGAAGATATAATATTTAGTTTTTCATGGACAGGTCTTAAATTCTATTTCATTCCAATTCTTGTGCAGTGGGTTTATTATCTAAACTAAACCGACTATACCACACTTTTATGTAACTGATTTGCAACAGTAAACAGTTTTAACTTGATAAACAGCATATATGGCACCATCCACTATCATTTCCATTCAATAACAAGTCTATTCTGAGTGTAGAGAGAAGGCTATAGGCAACAGATATTATTATTACTACTACTCATACTGTGGCACTCTGAGCACTCTGCTACTACAAATTATGCATGTAATGTTTTGTGATTGGGCACTCAAGGGAAACTAGGCCTCCTCTGTGAACCATGGGGACATTACTGTATTTCTCAGACTATAAGTGGCACTTTTTTTCATGGTTTGGGTGGTCCTGCAACTTATACTCCGGTGTGACTTATATATTAAAATTTTCACACTGACAGCCACGAGAGGGCGCTCTAGGCTTGTGTGTCAGTATCTGCTGCTCCTATTACTCCTGTACCACTGTCACTTGGCATGTCTCCTGCAGAAAGAGCCTTTGTTCTGTCTGGAATCATGTCAGTCGATTGCACCATTACTTCTGTACCACTGAAAATTTTAAATCTAAACAAACTTATATAAAGACGACTGAGAAGACTGAACACAAATGCCCCCAAAAAGAAAATAACAAGTTGCAAGTAGCGAAATATGCAGCCGAAAATGGTAATCAAACATCACAAAGAAAGTTTGGAGTGAGTGAGAAACTTGTGACAACCAGGAGGATGCACCATGAAACTTTCCTGAAGTCACTGGATGGATCGATAAAGCCTGGACTTCAGACAATTGAAACCATCCTGTCGGGATTCAGAAAGGCTGTAATAATTCTAACTGGAACTGATGCTGAGTTTGATGACAGCTTCACAGAAGAGGAAGCGGCACTCTGTTTACTTCCGGAGGTCGCGGAGTTGCTCAGAAGTGACATCGAGAATGAAGAATTGAATGGATTTAGTGATTTGGAGTGAGATGGGGAGTCTGGTAAACTTGTTCTGTTTTGTTGTTTATGCTATAGTCTGAAGAACTGTTCATATGTGACGTTAACAGTCTGTTGTTCTCTGTTCTGTTGTTATTACTAGAACTTGACTTTCAAGATGAAATGTCGGTTTCTGGTCTCAAATTTTATAAAATAAATTTCTCCCAAAAAATGTGACTTATAGTCCGGTGCAACTTATATATGTTTTTTTCTTCTTTTTTTTTTTGGCTGGTGCAACTTATACTCCGGAGCAACTTATAGTCCGAAAAATATGGTAAGTCCATCTGAGAGCACCTGCCTGCTCCTGAATGCTCCTGCTTGCTCCTGTCCACTCCTACCAGCTCCTTTTCGCTCCTGTTTGCTCCTGCCTGCTCCTCTGTTTCTGTTTGCTCCTGTCCACTCCTGTCTGCTCATCTGCCCCTGTCTGCTCCTGTCCTCTCCTTTCTGCTCCTATCCGCTCCTGCCTGCTCCTGTCTGTGGCCTATATTCAAACTCATATGAGTAATTCTGCTAAAAGGTGCATGCATCTGGACAGTTTTGGGAGAAGATCACATTTCTTAATCTGAAACTGTCAAAAGCTACGAGGCTCCTTCTGTTTTATTCATTTCTAACATGAAAAGTATCTTAATCTATTTTTATCACCAGAGGTCTATTCAAAAGATTTTCACAGGATAGTTTTTAAAGGGAAGGCTACAAAAATCATCGAATCGTAGACACCTAAATATACACAACAGATTGTTTAAAGGGCCTATCTTATGCTATTTTCTGATCTATGTTGTCTAATGTTGTTTTCTCACCAGAAACAGAACAGTGCTTTGTTTCATTCACACTGGGTGCATCTGAGTTTCAAAAGGGCACAAACATAATAAGCTCTCATTAAGTGACATTATTTTAGGCACCTGAAATTAGGGTACAAACTTTTTTTTTTTTTTTTTTTTTCAATTTTGAAATTATACACTGCAAAAAACAAAATCTAGTCAAGTTCAGATGACTTGAATTAAGAAAGTTTTATCATGATTTGAGTAAATTTCACTTGACAAGTAAGATTATCTGCCAGTGGAATAAGACTTTTTGTATTTAATATGAAAATACATCTTGCTGCATTTAAATTAAGAAACTAAATAGTTTTGCTTGAATTAAGAAAAGCACATTTATTCCATTAGTAAATAATTTTACTTGTCAAGTGTAATCTACTCAAATAAAGTTAAATGTTCTTAATTTAAGTCTTTTTAACTTAACTTGTTTTAGTTTTTTTTCAGTGTATGTAATAAAAAGGACCTAAGAAGTTAATATATATAACAAAACAAAAAATAGAACAGAAAAAAAAAAAAAAAAAACTCACACAAACCACCCCTCTCTCCACACTGAGGTTCCAATGCACCCTTTGCACCTCTTCTCTTAGACAGAAAACACTCTGTTCCACCTTGTGATGTCATGTGGTAATGCAGGGAGTGCTCCATTGTGTTTTTAAATATACCTCCTAACACCTTCACAAGCATACACTTTGGAGATGTAGAATAATAAATGATTACTCAAATACAGGAATGTGCAAAAATATCAAAATTTCAGTATATCGTATAGTTTAATGTGATGACACGGTATCGATATCGTGGCCTGTTGTATCGATATATCGCCAAGAATATTTTTTTGGTATATTCTACGAAATTATTTTGTTACAGCGCTATAGTTGTTTAGAGGAAGGAAACTTGTTTTAGTATCACAGCCATGATTTAGCCATTATTTTTACTGAACCGTATGGAATCGGTTTGAACTATATCGTATCATATCGAGATATTTATTGTATCAAGGCTTATGCATCGAGGTATGTATCATATCAGCAACTCCTTGATGATAGCCAGCCTTACTCAAACATGTGAAATGAAACAAAACACCACTCTGTATGTTTTTTGAGGAGGTAACAGCATTATAACATGGCTTAAAACCCACAAGAGTCCATTTTGTGTAATACAGGAAATGGGGACAAGTCACAAAATATGCTGAGGGTAAGATATATAACTAGAAAAGCACTCAGAGAGCGCAGACCTCCGCCAAGGACTACCCCCATTTTTTATATAAATTGCAATAAAATCAGTCTTCTGGATCAGATCCGGATCAGCCTTTGGAATATGAAAGAGGATCCCATTGTCCATCCCTGAGTCAAATTTCATGGGGTTTGGTCAATAATTAACCGAGATATTGAGAAACAAAATTTTTGGCCCCATTTACCACAATGTTAACTAAAATTTCAAAGTGATCCAGGATTTCTTCCGAATCACCCCCAAAATGAAATCAGTTCTTCCTTTTCACATTTCCAACAAATCCTGAAAATTTCATCAAAATCGGTCCATAACTTTTTGAGTTATGTTGCTAACAGACAAACAAACAAACAAACAAACAGACAAACGCCGGCAAAAACAAAACCTCCTTGGCAGAGGTAATAAAATAGATATAAAGTCTCTCACCTGATTTGGTATAAAATCCATATCTAAATAATATAGTTACTAAACCTCCAAGGAATTTGAATAAAACTCCTGCAAACAACTGACAAACACTGTACTGGATCAACCTAAATACAGAATATGAAGAGACAGTGTTCTCTTTTGCCTATAGTCCTGCTTTATCACTGACTTCCTCCAATGACTGTTAGAACATGCAAATGACCAAAGGCTGTTTCTGTGTGACATTTCACTATAGATCTTGTTTACAAAGCCTCAGTTTAAGTCTATGAACAGTAACAACATGTGAAGACTGGCCTACTTTCAATCTCTGTGTGATCGTGACCTCTTAACCCAATTCTCCTCAAGCCATGGACAAGTATATAAGAGGAGTTTGAGAAAATCCGTGTATCATTCGTTCATTTGTTTTCCAAATAAACCAAAAATAAGAGAACGAAAAAAAAGCAATTTTCTTTTCTATTATTTGTCTCCAAAACCAAAATGAAAAAACAGATAAACATTTTTTCACTTTTCGATTTTGTTTCCCGTTTCTGTGACTTAAACTGCGATGCCGGACTTTTGCATCGCATATGTACTGAACTGGGACTGAATCAGAACTAAAACAGGACCAAAACAGGACTAAAACAGGTCTAAACCAGGACTAAACCAGGAGTGAACCAAGACTAAACCATGTCTCAACCAGGTCTAAACCAGAACTGAACAAGGACTGAACCAGGACTAAACCAGGATTGAACAAGGACTAAACCAGGACTAAACCAGGACTAAACCGATCTCTGTCCTGGTCTCAGTCCTGGTCTGGTCTGGTCCTGGTCACAGTCTTGGTCTGGTCCCGGTCTCAGTCCTGGTCTCAGTCCTGATCTTGTCCCTGTCTGGTATTAGTCTCGCCATTTTGGTTTTGGAGGCAAACATTTTTTCGTAAGTTTTTAGGTTTTCTTATTTTTGGTTTTATTTTGAAAAACAAATTAACAAATTACACACGGATATGAGAAGCTACTGGTTTGTAAGAGCAGTGGTTCTCTAAACAATTCACTCAAGTACTACTACTAATGTTGTAGTTGACTAGAAATTCTTGGTCCACTTAAGACATGTCCTGTTTTTGACCAGAAAGAGCTCTCAAAACTATTATGTATCTCTGTGTACCCAAACTGCACTCACAAGACTACACCTGCACAGGAGTTCATGCAAAAACAGCTAATATTACTAGAAATTTACAAAAGTGACAAATCCAGTGTTTATACCTTTAGCTGAAAAATTCCACAGTTGTCCAGAAAATACCTTGGACATGCTTTTTTAATGTGAATGGGCCCACCTCTCCACAGATCCAAAACTTGGCCTGGTGGTGACTTAAACATCTTGTCTCCATGGAGATATTGTGTACAAGTTTAATGAAGTATTATGAAAGAATTATTAAACTCAGATTGACAACCTAAGAGTTCAGAATTAAAGGACCTATATTATGGAAAATCATTTTAAGACATGTTATAATGTTGTTACCTCATCAAAAACATTCCTGGAGTTGTGTTTTGTTTCATTCACAGATGTTTGAGTAACCCTTTATTATTAGTCTATTAGTCTACGTCTCCAAAGCTCAAAATGCTCTGTTACACCTTGTGATCTCATGTAGTGATAGATTTCAAGTTTACAGCTACATTTTACCTTTAGTTCAGTAAAGATTGGCAATTCCAGGGCAGAAATCATCCAAATGATTCTAGTGAAGATGTACAGAGTTTATAAACACATTGTAGCACTTCCTGTATTACTACATAAGATCCCAAAATGAAACATAGTGTATTAAGTTTGAGAGAAGAACTTGCAGGGTTTGTGTGTTAAACATGTATGAATGAAACAAAACACAACTCCAGTTCTGTTTGTGATGAGGAAACTACGACTACTACTACTACTGCTACTACTTCTACTGCTAAGGTTCAAGACTACTACAAGTACTATTACTACTTCTACTGCTACTACTTCTACTGCTAAGGTTCAAGACTACTACAAGTACTATTACTACTTCTACTGCTACTACTTCTACTGCTAAGGTTCAAGACTACTACAAGTACTATTACTACTTTTACTGCTACTACTTCTACTGCTAAGGTTCAAGACTACTACAAGTACTATTACTACTTCTACTGCTACTACTTCTACTGCTAAGGTTCTAGACTACTATGACTACTATTACTACTGCTACTACTTCTACTAAGGTTCTAGACTACTACGACTACTATTACTACTACTACAGCTACTACTTCTACTACTACTACTACTAGGTTCAATCATCCATGTGAAATCATCCATGTGATTCTCGTGAAGGTGTATGGAGTTTAAAAACACATTGGAGCACTTCCTGTATTACCAAATAAGATCCCAAGGTGGAAGTGCATTAAGTCTGAGTGAAGAACTCCCAACTCCAGGTCTGTTTGTGATGAGGAAACTACATTATAATATAGATCAGAAAATAGTGTAATATGGACCCTTTAATAATATTGAAGTAACAGTACCCAACCCTGAACTGAAAATATTTACCTATAGATAACTAACTGTAACTATTTTAAATCATGAGGTATGATTATAAATTATAAAGTCTCATTTTTCATAAAGCGCCTGTCTTTGCAGTGTCTTACAAAATGAAAGTGTGGTAATAACAGATGACAAACACTGAAGCCCGGAGCCAATATAACCTATACACACATCCATAATACTGTGATGGACGACTCCGGATATTTCATTAAGTTAAGAGCTTCATTAGTTTGATCTGACACAAAAAGTGAATATGAACTTTGAGCAGTGGAGATATGGAGGGAATACATGTGTGTGCTGCTGTCCTCTAAGTGTGAGGACAACATGACCTAGTAGTCCAAACCTACTACTACTACTACTACTACTAGTACTACTGCTGCTGCTACTACTGCTACAACCTCTAGACTACTACTACTACTATTACTACTACTACTGTTACTACTTCTACTAAGGTTCTAGACTACTACAACTACTATTATTAATACTACTATTACTTCTACTACAAAGGTTCTAGAATACTATGACTATATTTATAACTACTACTGCTACTACTTCTACTACTAAGGTTCTAGACTACTACAACAACTATTACTACTACTGCTACTAATACTACAACTATGGTTCTAGACTACTACGACTACTATTACTACTACTACTGCTACTACTTCTACTACTAAGGTCCTAGACTACTACGACGGCTATTACTACTACTACTGCTACTATTACCACTGCTACTATTTTAGTGTACTAGATCACTACTGCTATAATTAGGTCTACTACTACAAGGTTAAGGTTAAGGTACTAGGATACTACTATAATTTACTAATACTGCTACTATTAATACTACTGCTTATTAGGGATGGGCATTCGATGAAATTTTCTTAATCGATCATCGGAAGAATTAACGATCGATTATCGATTAATCATTAACGTTTTTATATTAAAATGATCATCATTATTATTACTATCTGCACTACTAATCTGCATAAATAAATTCAACTTTACGACATATAAACCGTAATGACTCTAGAGCCACATCAATCCGTTTGACATTATAATGTGTTTAATTCAGTTTTGCGCAACTCTCACAGAAACAAAACTTAAAACCGCATCGCTAATTTGCATAAACTCAGCGAAGATAAAACTACAGCTCTTGTGTCGCTGATGCGGTCAGTTTCTGGTTAATGTGACAATATTTGCGTTTGTCAAAACCAGGACACCGTACGGGGGGTGGGAGTTGGAGACTCGTCCTCGACATTGCGCAACTCTCACCTGGTAAAGCTTTTTCCCACTGGACACCGAAACATATGTGCTGCTTTGTTCACTGTGCACATGGACTTACACTTGTCCCGAACGCAACGGAAAGCCTGGAATTTCTTGTACAAATCATTGTTAAATACGCATTTGTGCTTCGGTACGCTGCAGACTGACCGACTGTTTGTGTCTCGCTCCTTCTGAGTGCAGAGAGACACATGTACAGACCCCTGTTTGGTCACACTACGCACAGCAACATACATTTGGTTTGTCGATTAAAATTAACGTAATTAATGAAATTCTTAATGATCAATTATCGATTAATCGATTAATCATGCCCATCCCTATTGCTTATACAAATAGGTTAGGGTTATGGTTGTAGGTTACTACTAATACCACTACTGTGTTTGTAGAGCAGTAGAGCAATCACCTGCAATTGAATAAAAGCAAGATGATAAGTTTTATGGCATACTGTGAAACATTGCATATAAAACAAACAGTTGCTTGCTCTTTTCCAGAAAAATTACACGGCACGTTGTTAAATTAGTGTTAAAATTACAACTACAGTATAGTAGTTTTTAAAGCTCCTATGTTACACGAAATTGACTCTTGTGACCTTAAAGCTGTAACTTCAACAAAAACACACCCGGAGTTGTGTTTTGTTTCATTCACACATGCTGGTAACCCTTTATTTATTATTAGTCTGTCTACATCTCCAAAGCTCAAAATGTTCTGTTCCAGGGCTGAAATGATCCGCATGATTCTAGTGAAGGTGTATGGAGCTTTAAAACACAGTGGAGCACTTCCTGAATTACTGCCTGACATCACAAGGTGGAAGAGAGCATTTTCTGTTTGAGAGGAGAAGTGAAGTAAATAAGCAGGATTTGAGTGTTAAAACATGTGTAAATGAAACAAAACACAACTCCTGGGACGTTTTTGGTGAGGAAACAACATTATGACCTAGATAAAGAAAATAATAATAATAATATGGACCCTTTAATGCATCATAACTGTAATCAATCAAATTGTTGCTGAATTGATTCACTGTTGTTATCTGTTCTGTTTTGCTTTGGTACACGTCTCCAAGTACTTCTGAGAGTAAAACAAACTTATCTCCATGTTGCCGTAATAAGTTCAGTCCCAGTCGTTTTGTAATTCTGTGCCTTTTCGTGTCCTCCTCTATAATTAAACTTCTCTAATCCCCGTACATGTGTCATTATTATTACATTATCACGTTATTAGAGCATGGCTGAGTATAGCTGTGAGGCGGTGTACCTGGAGAAGGGCTGCTGCAGTGTCACCATCTGCCGATCGCCCTCTCTCTCCTCCTCTTCTCTCTCTCTTTCTCTCTCTTTCTCTCGCTTTCACAGATGTTGTTTTGGTCCAAAGAGACTAGTCTTGGATCAGTCTGGGAGGCAGCGCTGCAGGGGAGAAAGAAACAAACTGAAATAAATACTTGAATGCTTAAATCATTCATAGAAGACAATAATGAACGGTTTAACTGAAGTTTCCTGTCAACACAAGTGACTTTTCATGTATCACTTTAATTCTAGACTAGAGTAAGGGACAGGTATTATGTAATGTCTTAACTTTATAGTGATTCAATCCAGTTTACTGGTCAAGGTTGGCCCAAAACGTCTCATAATATTAAATTTTAATCATTTTGAATCACAAATGGGATCATTTTTATCATATGCTGTTAGTTTTTAATGGAAATAAAATATATTCTCAGTCTCTGCACTAGTATCAGTTAATATTAGATAATCAAAGCCAAAATATTGACATCGGTATCAAAATACCAGTGCATCCGTAACCTGAATAAAGAAAATGAATCTTGTTTTGAGTAGTTTTGACTTGTATGCACAATATAGTAGACTATATAATTATAGTTAGTTGTTTTGTTTTGTTGATTTGAAAACTTAAATAAATAAACACATTATATTTAATTAGGGAAGAAAATAATCGACAGACTGATACATTTGCTGTAGACACGAAAACACACACAAACAAACCAAGTATCTTGAAACATCACAACGACTGACTATAAATACAGATCGGTCAAACTCAAGTTAAAGATATTCCATTTTTACAGTGTAGTAGAGCCCCCGTACCCACTCTCTCCCTTTCCCTCTCCCTCGCTCCTGTCTAACAGTGCTGTAGTGGGACATGATGTGTGCAGATCTGAGTTTAGTGACATTTTAAAATCGCCTGAGGAAAGTGTCACCAAACCCTCTGAAATAATCCAGTCTGAAAATCCTGCTGCTCCCAGACAAACTGCTCTGTCACCAGGACACTGCGGGGTACTGCGCCTTAGGGTCAAATGCATTCATTTTATTCAACTGGAAAAACGCTGTTAAGATTAAGAAGCTCTTTTTTGCCGATGTATGCCAATACCCGATATCAACCGATACCAGTGTAGAAACTTAAAACAGCACTTCACTTAGAATCATTCCAATGATTCAGACCTGGAACTGACAATTTCTGCTAAACAAAAGGTAAAAGGTAGCTATTAAATTGAAAATTACCACTTCATGACATCACAAGGTGGAACAGAGCATTTTGAGCTTTGGAGACGTAGACAGACTAATAATATATGTGTAAACATGTGTGAATGAAACAAAACACAACTCCAAGCATGTTTTAAGGCACTTAACATGAGTCAGTGTTGAGAAACATATGACCTTTAAAGGTGCACTATGTAACTGGAGGGTCAGACACCTGTTTGTTACCATGGTGATGTTATGCTTTCCCTGCAATGAGGTATGTCATTAAATTTATACATCTACATGGAGACAAACAGGTGACACCACCAGGCCAGATCAGATCTGTGGAGAGGCAATCCCACTCAAAGTAAGAATACATGTTTAGTTGAACAAGTGCGAGATATATAGCCTACTTTTGTGCCATACTGAGTAACATTACGGGAAAGGAGTAACATCTCCGTGGTTACAAGCAGGAGACAGATCCTCTTAACCAGAAAAGTTATGCAATGCACCTTTAATTTAACAAGAGCAGAGAATAAAAACAACCTTTTACCCATATAAAAGAGAAAACTACAAAATAGTAAAATTGGTTTGTTTGTTTGTTTCCTAACATTGTGTTTCTGTCATTGATGTTATCTTGAACTAATACTAGAAATGCAACAAGCCAGCACTGCCATCTAGTGGTCGTTATGGAGGTTCACAAAAGCTAATGTCATTTTTAAACCAATAGACAATTCTATAAACAAGACACATTTTGAAATCACTTGACTCATTTATCACAAAAATGTATTTCTCCCTCCAAAGTCTGAACTCTGCTCCAAACCACATGCTATTACTGACAGAAGACTGGCTGTAGAGCTCTTCATGAAAAACCCCAAAGTTGATACCATGTTTAGAAATGACTGAAACAAAATTTAGATTAAAATTAGATAACTCGTCCGGCCCCAAGAATAAAGACAGACTGTAAATTGTTAGAATGTTAGAATGTCAAAAATTAAACCTATTTTTCAATACTATTCAAATTGTCCTTTTTTGTAAGCCTTGTGAGCCAGAAAATAGCGCACAGGAAAGTAAATAAATCCATTACTTATTTCATAATTTTCCCTCGATGGAACTCCACAGAGACCGTCCAATCCGGTTCAGGAAGTACATTTTGAATTTATTTTTCCACCTTTTAAAAAAGATCAGACATTAAAAGTTCATCGAGGAGGCTAACACGTCACGTGGGAACGACTAAGTCCAAAAAGCACATTTGAAAACACAAGATTCTGCAAAATGTTTTAATAATTTAGCTGTTTATAAAGTTTCAGAAATAGATTTTAAATAAATTTACAGCATGATCTTACTTACCTGAGCTTTTAAGACTTTTAAAAACTAAAATAAAGGGTGTACGGGTCATTGTTGAGCGCCATACTGTGTGTCAGTTCATGTTTGTCCACTAGATGGAGCTGTCGTCCTGCCCTGGTACTGCTACACAGACGTTGTTTCATAATTGCACATTTGGAGCTTTTGTTTTGTCTTTGAATCTGGAGCTAAAGATGAGTCACTGCTTCAACTCAAATGAGACATGAAATCATCTGCTGCCTCTTTCATCTTTATATTATAGTCTATTATTATCGCCACAGAGACAACTGAAAATGACAGGTCTCAACAAAAGAATTCACATGTTTAATTTTATGAAGACAGTGCATCTTAGTTATACATGTGAAATTATATGGCTAAGCACTAAATCAATATTAGGACTAAAACCGGCACTAAACCTGGACTAAAAAAATTGGATAACTTCAGTCTTGGAATTGCCAATCTCCACTGAACTAAAGGAAAAAGGTAGCTGCTAAATTGGAAATGTTTGCATCATGAATCACAAGGTGGAACAGACCAATGTGAGCTTTGGAGATGTAGACAGACTAATAATAAAGGGTTAGTCAAACATGTGTGAATGAAACAAAACACAAGTCACTCCACACTCCTCAGGTCTTTGTGAAAATACAAAGAGTCCATGCAGCATCTCCATTGTACGCTGAATAAAAGGAGAGCAAACATTCACAATATCCCAGAACAACCAGGCCTTCTGTCATGTCATTATAGCACTCACTACAGACACAGCACAGACAAACAGTCTTTCACTGATGGATGAACCGGAGACTGTCTTTGCCACAAAATGTTTCATATAATTTAAAGATCCTGTATTACATGAAACTGACTCTTGTCAACAATGTTTCCTCATCAAAAATATACCTGGAGTTGTGTATTTCAAAATACTCTGTTCCACCTTGTGGTATCATGAAGCAGTAGTTTTCAAGTTAACATCTTTTATTCAGAAGAGCTTGGCAATTCCAGGTCTGAAATCATCCAAATTATTCTAGTGAGGGTGTGTGGAGTTTAAAAACACAGTAGAGCACTTCCTGTATTACTAAATGACATTACAAGTGTTTTCTGTTTGAGAGAAGAACTCAGTCTAAATATGCAGGGTTTGTCGTTTAAACATGTGTGACTGAAACAAGGGAGACTGCAAACTCAAATTGACTTTGCCTTTGTCTGGCTTATGCTAATTTTGCTGTTTGATGGTTTGAAGCAAATAGAGTACAGATTTTCACTTTTGACTTCGAACTTCCAATGAACTGTCTGAAATTAATTATATGTATAGTCAGGGTGTAGGACTAAATTCTTGACCCTAGGTACAAATTATCAACACTACATGTTGTCTAATGAAAAATGCATAAATTGAAATAAGATTTCAATTTCAAGTTGAAATAAGATTACTTACTGGACCCTGGGTACACAGTACCCTTTACCCCCAGTCTGATGCCCCTGTGTATAGTGATTAGTGAGCAGGCTTATGTTACGTGTACTTTTGTATGATTGTTGATGTACCTTTCCCTGTCCTGATAGATTATTTTAGATCAACCTGGGATTAAGGATGAAAATTAGCCACGTTGGCTATAATCTTTAATCATAATCATTTATATGTGCTGTCCCTTTGCAAATAAATAAATAAGGCACAATTTATTGCATGCTTAAGTTATCTGCAGTTAATGTTTGAATAAGTCCATGTGAGCAGCTCTTTAAAGCTCTTTCTGATTTATGTTATAATGTTTATAATGTTTCCTCATCAACACATTCCCACATGTCTAACACACAAATCCTGCATATTTAGGCTGACTTTTTCTCTCAAACAGAAAAAACTCTGTTCCACCTTGTGATGTCATGTAGTAATACAAGAAGTAATACCTTTTAACAAAAAACAAAAGGAAGCTTAAAACTATCACTAAATGACATCACAAAATACATCAGAGCATTCTGTGATTTGTCCATGTAGACAGACTAATGAATGAAGCAAAACACAATTCCAGGTCTGTTTTTGAGGAGGTAACAACATTATAACATGGCTTAAAGCTCACAAGAGTCCTTTTTATGTAATATAGGACCTCTAAACAATATTACCAGTTTACAGTCTTATTCTATGCTCATATTTGCAAAGGAGAATCATTATTGGAGGACATTGTGTTGAGTATATAACTAAACCTATTGAACTTTAATTATATTTAAATGACATATTTCCTCTGTGAGTGGAGCAGCTGTGTTGATTGTCCCATGAATCCACTTTCACATCTGCCTTAGCGGCTCCTATGGGACTTTATATAATAGATAAGCAGCAGTGGACAACTATGTTACTAAATGACATCAAAACATGAAATAATGCTTAGAGAATATGTAAATTAAATGTACTTTGTTTAAAATATCTTATTATAGATGCCATTTCCAGACTGACATGGTTTGTATGGATGGAGTATGGTGAATATTAAGATGACTGCTGAGATATGGTTGTCAAAAGTATCAAAAATCAGATACTAGACTGACTAAACATTTGAGCAGGTATCGATACTAAACACAAAACACTGTGATTTAATGTTATTCTATTGGGTAAATAAAGAGTG